ATCCCATAGTTACTGACAATTAGGTCAGAAAGATTGAAATAGCGATTAGAAGTATATTAAATATACACCAACAAAACACAGGACCACACACCCAACATCTGTCCGCTCACCTGAAAAATAAATGGATAAATACATGGAGGGCATATATAAAAATATGTACATACCCATACTTATATAAAGATGCCTACATTCATAAATATCTGTATATACAATTTAATTGAAATAAAAACTCTGTCATTTCAATAATTGAAAAACTCTGTCATCATTCGCAGGAACATCAGGTCTTTGGAGTCATGTGGAAACGCTCGAAACAGCCTCCAGTCGACGCTGCAGAGAGTCCGATCTCAGAGCTGAGGCGGTGCTCTCTCTTTGGACTTTAATCACTCATGGACCTTTTTGAAAAGCAGCGCACGCAAAACATATTTTAAAAGAAAAAAATGAACAAAACCACCTTTTAAGAAGAAAGTCTTCACTGTAGCTGGGTTTTTTGGTTTCACCACTGTCTGTTAGATATTTTATTTTTTTGGACTTGAATGCTTTGTATTTGAAGTAAAACGTTTTTCTGTGGAAGCTGGAAGCTCTTTTGTGTACAGGACTGCTCTGACAAACAGAATCTGAAGAATATGACACCAAACTGCTCTAATCACAGGATATTCTGGACTCCTCAACTATTTTATTTCTATTCTCAATTTATATAACTTTTTACTAAAGTCTCAAAAGGAGTAAATATGGTCAAAATATCTACTGACCAAATAATTGTACAAACATACAACTGAAGTGTATTTTTGCCTTTTTGTGGCACAGGGTGTAACGTTTTTAGGATTTAATTTGCAAAATAAAAGTTTAAAATGTCTGATTTTGAGTCTTTGCATATTAATTCTTTTTTTAATAAAAAAGGAGAAAATCTTTGTTTTTAGTTGATATGGACATGAATTTTTGAAAACAACTAAACTTGAACAGATTTGTACAAATGTAGAAGTTGTTTTTTTCTTTAGAGTAAAAGAAGTTTCTGACTTGACATGTTTTAAAGAGAAAAGGTGCTCTGACTTCTGACCAGGCTGAAAATATGGAGCCAGTATGTTAATTTGTGGGGAGTCCAGGGATCACGGGTCACCAGAAGAATTTACTAAAGCCTGGTCTGTTGGCTGCTGGTCTGCAGATGGGAKTTGCTGGACCCAGTGAATTAGACCTTTGTAGCTGCTACAAGAACGGACAGATTCACATGGTTTTATTGGTTTTCATCAAGAAACAAGTGGATTCTGCTTGAAGGTGAGGTTCTGTTCTCCCCATGTTTTCATTTGTTTTGTTATTCCATCTCGATTTAGAGGCAGGGCTCGTAGCTGATACCTAATATTAATTTCTAAAAGTTTTACTGGCACAAGGTGCAAGAAGAGGTAAACTAATGTAGATATTGGTTTTCCAGAACGATAAAATGTTTTCATTTGTTACCTCTTTTACTTAATTCCACGTTTCTAAAATATTTTTACTGGCACAGATGCAGTTCCTCTTCGCTGCGGTCATCCTGCTCATTTTAACTTTGAGTTCAACACAAAAAGCTGTAAGAAAATGCCCCAAAGAGTGCAACTGTGATGACACCAAACTCACAGTGGACTGTGTTGGCAAAAACCTGACAGAAATTCCTCTGACTGCAGARGAGGTGAGGAATTTCAAACATTGATGTTTCGCTTTTCCAAAACACTTAAAGTGAAAGCACGACCACAGATCTTTACATGTGTGTTTAAATCTTTATTTACTTTATGGACACTCGCAGCGTTGTCAAACTCAGATTTTCACTGAGGGCCACGTGAGCATTCAGGTGGGCCAGTTGTAATTAATTTCAACATTTCGTATTTGACTTCAACTAAGCACAAAACGTGACATTCCTTGTCTCATGGCTATGACTGAGCACCGCTAATGAACAACTGAGCTCGACCGGGTATTTCCTGCGCCAACATTTRAACACGACCTCTTGTGAAAACTGAAAAGTACTAAGTGTACGACTGACTAAATGTGAACTAAATAATACAGAAACAATTAAAATTTAAAAAGTAAGCGAGTTTTTTGTTGTGTTGAGTAGCTTCTGAACTTTCCCACTTTCCTACAAGGAATTCCCACTGGAGGGGCATTCCAGGTTAATATTACAATTTGAAAGTAGGAAGTTCCCACTTCCCAAAACAACTGAGCAGCAAAAGTAATTGGCAAAAATGAAGATTTTACACAGTGAATTTTGCTGGCCACCTGCTCCTTTTGAACCCCGTGCACCTCTGCCTAGTGGTGGGTTTCCATCATTTCACGGCAAGAATAATTGCTATGCATTATGGGAGATGTAGTTTGTGGTCAATGCTGGCTTTAACGCTGCTTATTTTAAGACATTTTAGAAGCTCTCGTGGGCCACATAAAATGCCATGGCGGGCCACACTTGGCCCATGGACCTTGAGTTTGACATGAGCWTTTGGACATTCACATTGTATACAGTTGTGAATACAGTTGTTTGTTGTTCACTTTGTTGCCTCGTCTTGATTTGTTTGTTAAATTTGCGCTCCCCCTCTGCCTCAGAGCTGTAGTTCTTTCACCACTCTTCCAGATTACATTAAAACTGGATCTGAGGAATAATAACCTACAGCTGCTACCAAGGGGGGCGTTTACACACACGCCCTACCTCACCCACCTCAACCTGCAGCGCTGCAACATCATCAAGGTGAAGGAGGGAGCCTTCCGCACTCTCGGTCGTGTGGTGTCCCTAAACCTGGCCAACAACAAAATAGAGACCCTTTACCAGGTGAGATAAAGAGCCCTGATCTGTCTTAATGCTGAAACTGAACCMGAGGAAACATGTTTATATTTACACACCGCAGGAGTCCTTTGATGGCCTCTCCTCCTTGAAGGAGCTGCACCTAGATCGTAATCGTATCGAGGAGATCCAGCCCGGAGCCTTCATGCAGCTCGGCTTCCTCAACGTCCTGACCCTCACCCACAACCACCTGGTTTACATCCCCAACATGGCCTTTCAGGTGAGTCCGAACCTCAGAGCAGTCACCAGAGCAGAAGCTGCTATCAGGAAGACGGTTCTTCATCGGTGTAACTTCTCACTCAGGGCTTGCAGAACCTAAAATGGCTTCGTCTGAGCCACAACTCCCTGAACAACCTGGCACAGGAAGCATTCGCCGGACTGTTCAGTCTCCATCGCCTCAGCCTGGATCACAATGAGCTGCAGTTCTTCCCCACACAGACCATGACCAGGTGGGACCATTATCATGAGTATGATACAGAGGAAGGTGTAAGAAAACTAAGAGCTTTGGAATTATTGCATCATACAAGTATAATTAAAATAACCTGATTCTGTTTTGAATTATTTTATTATTCCTGCCGGTAGTGACCAAAGCTGCACCTAAAGTGTGATAGCTCAGCCCTGCTGTCACGCCAAAAAAAGTTTTATATGAACAACTTTATATTGGAAACTTGATGGTGTTGTAAAGTTTTCTAGAAGAACATTTGCATGAACTAGAACAACAATCTTTGGACGAGAGTTGTTTTACAAACTATTTATTCAATTTGAGGTCATTTAAAGTGCTATCTACAACAGGTAAAATGTTTATTATTCATGATCTTTCTACAGAACCACACTTCTGAGCTATTCCTCTAACTTTAAGTCTCTAAAAGTACTGACAGGTGAGAGTATAGATAGTTTCATGATGTCAGCTAGTAACACATAAATTAATAACACATTTATAACAAAACTAACCAGAAACAAAATGGCGAACAGTTTTTTGAACCATTAAAAGTGTTGAAGTGCAGTTTGGATGCACAGTAAAAGAATGACAGAAACAAAAGAGGAGAAATTTGAAAGTGTTGTGTGAATGTTATTGAGCATTCACACTATTGATGATCCATTTTTTCTTCCGTACATCTTTCGGCATCTCCTTCAATTTACAACTTTTGCATTATTTCAATAATTTATTAATCAAAATGTTCAGTTCATTTGTGCCATGGGTGCTATGACTTTTGGTATTTCAGCAACTTGTACTTTTTCAGCTATTCAACTTTCTGCCATTTTTTTTCTTATTGAAAGTTATTGAGTCATTGAGTTATCCTTTAAAATGTTTGTAAATCTTTACTGCACCTTTAACCTTTGGTTCTGTTTTTTTCTTAAACTTCTTAGTTAAAGGTTTGAACTTGTTTCTGCTTTTTTTTTTTAGCTAGTTTAAGCTTTGTATCTGTTTTCTGCCCTTTTAGCCAATTTGTAGCTTTTTTCAGCTAATTTTAGTTTTTTATCTAAAGACATGATCTTGTGATCGTCTCAGCTTCTTACTGTTTAATTCAGTAAACACGCGCTCTGTTTGTGTTAAATTAGTTTTTAATTCTATTGCACTAATTTTTTCAGCTACTTTTATTTTTCAGCAAATTTTGGCTGCTTTAGCTATTTTACAACAAATTCCAAACTTTTTTTGTGCTCGTTTTCTTGTTTTTCTGTCAGTGTGGGCTGATTTACTCTCCATTCAACAGTTTTTTTCAACTTGTTTCTGCTGCTGTTCACTTTTGTTTTCCTACTTTCAGCAAAAGTCGGCTGTTCAAGTTGAACTCACGTTAATTAGGGATGCACGATATATCGGTATTTATATCGGTATCGCCGATATTGGTAATTTTTTAGAATATCGGTATCGGTCTGATATTTAAAACTGGGCCAATATTAATGTTCAATATTGATTTCCCACTTTTTAGTTTGTGTTTCTGTTTTGGGGGGGGGGATGGTTGGTTGAGCGACATCTGTTTGATCATGATAGTAACGCTGCACAGCCAGAAATAACTAAAGTAGAGCCATGTCAGAGGTTTGGTCATTTATTTACCGTATCAAAAAAAAAAGACCCAAGTGTGTTTGTGTGTATAATATAATTTGTGTGTTTGTGTAACATCAGTAAATATATCGGCCATAACAGCAATAATTATATCTGATATCAATATCGGCTGAAATTTACATATCGGTGCATCCCCAACGTTAATAATTTGCCTGTAAAACATTTTCAGCTTCAGCCGCTTTCAGGAAAAAAACTTTCAGCGAAAAGCATTCACGTTGCATTCTTGCTGGAAATGCAAATTCTCTAGTTTTCTTATTAGATTTTCTCCTAAAGGCTCCCTGAAGTCATGCACCTGGACTTGAGTGACAACCCCATGGTCTACCTGGGGGAGGAGTCAGTTTCCATGGCGAAGCTCACCCACCTCTACCTGCACCACATGGCCCTTCAGGACCTGTCAGACCAGGCATTTTCCCACGCCAGGCTTCTGTCCCACATCGACCTCAGCCACAATCAGCTGAGTCACCTGGAGCCCCTCTCCGGCCCGAAGCACCTAACCGTCCTCAACTTGACCGGTAGAAAACGTGGAAACATTTATTTACAATAATTATTTCTTTATTGTAAAACTAACCCCATGCTTTGAGTGTGAGTCACGTTGCATTAACCTAACAAATACATAAATAAATAATCCACATCATTTATGTCTATTAAAGGCAACCCAGTCTTCTGTAACTGCTACATGAGGCCCCTGAAGGAGTGGGCGACCACTGGAGGTGTGAAGCTGCTGGGAACCTGTGCCGGACCGCCTCATCTCTCTGATGAGCTGCTGCAGGAGGTGACTTTCCTGGATCTACGTTGTCGAAGCAGAGGGGAAGCTCTGGAGGAAGAGGAAGAGCAGCAGGAGGAAGAGCAGAATAAAAGAAACAGCACAGCCACAGCCAAACCCAGACCGCCAGTCAAGTGTCCACCAAACTGTGAATGTGACGTGAGTTTAACGCTGACTTTAAAGCAACTTATTTTGAGACATTAATACATTTTTTGATGCTCCTGCAGGCTACAGAACATGTTGTGGTTGGCCACAAACCCCACTCTTTAGCAAACACTTGGAAAAAGGCAGAAAATCTCTTTTTAACAAAAGTAAACTTAATACAGAAACCAAACTGACTCAAGAAATTGCGTGGCACTTATAATTTAAAGTGGCAATATTATGTGTTTCTGAGGCATACCATTTAAATACTATACCATAATAAAGTATCTATGTCACCTTTAGTTGTTATTAAAAGGCTGTTTTTATGTTTAAATAGAAAATAAACTTATCTTCTCATCACTTCCTCTTCTAAACGCCTTGAAATTGACCTCGGTCTCATTAAGAACCACCTTCCGCTTCTGTCCCACCCATTTTGGTGCGGGGTGCTATGACGCAGTTTACTTGGCATCTGAAAATACGTTTCCTCAAAGGTATTTTTAATCTGAAAAGAGCTTCACTGAGTGAGAAGTTAGGAGCTCCGCAGACAGTTTCAGTCTCACTTTCGGTTTCACCCGAGAGCCTGCAGGAGTCATGGGCGGGGTGTGTGGGGAGTGGGGGAGGGCACTCTGCCATGAGGAAGTTCGGCTTAAAGACACGTCCCAAAGGCGTTTCTGGTCCCAAAAGGCATTTCTGGTTTCCACCTGTTGTTTTGCTCCTCAGCATGGCTGCCTAAAAACACTGCAGGATTTCTCAAACATGCATGAATGTGTCAAAACAAGGCTTTGGGCATGTTTTTATGAGAGTATAACATTATAACATGATATTAAACTCAAAAAAGTTGATTTTACATGATATTGCCCCTTTAAGAGGCTGTGCCATTATGTTTCTGATCTGACCTGCAGACTGAAACCCGTCACGCTACATGTGAGAATCGAGGCCTCACCAAAGTCCCGCGAGGTTTCCCCGCCACAACACAGCTGCTCGACCTCCGTGGCAACCTCTTCCACTTTATCCCTTCCAGCAGCTTCCCGGGCTCCAGCCGAGTAGTTTCTCTCCATTTGGAGTTCTGCGAAATCCACGACCTTGAAGGTGGCGTGTTCCAGGGCATGAAAAACCTGCTTTATTTATATCTGTCGGATAACAAGCTCACATCGTTGAACCCAAAAGTCTTTGCTGAAGTCCCGAAGCTCACCTATCTCCACCTGGAGGGAAACCAACTGTCCAACTTCCCTGGATCAGGTCAGTATCTTGTCCTGATAAATATTCACACTTAAAGTTGGAGAAATTTAAACCTTTTTTCTCTTTGCGGTTGCCCTGCAGCTCTGTCACTTTTACCAAATTTGTTCGTGTTACATCTGGAGAGAAACGCCATCTCCAGACTGGAGCCCACCGGTTTACTGTCCTCAGCAGCTCCTAACCTCAGAGAACTTTACTTGAGTAACAACACCATAACTTTTATTGCCAAGGGCGCTCTAAGCTCAGCTTTCATTGCTACTCTTCGCTTGGATTCAAACCAGCTGACTGAGGTTCCTACTCAGGCTCTGCTCAAAGCTCCAAACCTGGAGGAGCTGAACCTGTCCGCGAACCTCATTCCTTGGGTTGGACCAAAGGCTTTCCAGCCCATCTCACAAAGTCTTAAAAGACTTATTATGGATCAGATGGGAATGGAAAAGGTCAATTTTAGATTTTTTTTATATTAAATCCCAAGCTTCGGCCATTTTGTTTTCTGTAGTAACTTCAAGACCTCTGTCTGTTTTTTTTCTCTCTSTCTAGATGTCCAAGGATACCTTGTTAGGTCTGGGTCCAGGACTAAAGGCTTTTACTTTGAAAGGAAATCAGCTAAAGAATCTTCCTGATCTGAGTTCACTCACCGGCCTGGAGGTGGTGGACCTACGAGACAACCCTCTGCTGTGTGACTGTGCTCTGCTGCCCCTTCGCAGGTCGAAACAAGAAGTCTTAACAACACTGTATGAAAATCTTCATTCAGCGCAGCATAATTACTCATCTTACTCAACTGTTTGAATGTCTCTTTGGATCAGGTGGATGGAGAACGTAAAGTTGGGTGTGACAGCGACTTGTGCTCACCCTCTCGAGCTCAGAGGTCAGCAGGTCAGGGATGTTGACGTTTTCACGACCTGCCCAGAAAACATCGCTCCGCAACACGGGAAGGCTGTTTCACGACTCACACCTACAAATTTAAAGAAATCCAAACATGGCGCCCTGAAGTCTCCCAGAGTGAAAATTAGGCCAAGAAAGCCTAAACTGAAGAAGCCATCCAAAAATCCACATGAGAGAAAGCCAAAAAAGACCAAGAACCAGAAGAAACTAAACATAAAAACCTGATTTTTGTCTTCTGTTTGGCAAATTACTCTGTCAATGTGCCATTGGTTTGTCGCTTTAAAGCTGAAGAGGGTTTGTCCATCAAAATAAAAGTGTTCAACTTTACTATGTGAAGGTTACATACTTTTTTATGCTGTTTAAACTTTCTTACTTATGGAAGCCCATTTCCGCCACCCTGATAAAAAAATAAAATTTGTATCTCTTAATTATGACTTAGCTATCTCACAATTATGACTTAGCTATCTCATTATTATGAGATACTATCTCATAATTATGAGATAGTATCTCATAATTATAACTTAGCTATCTCATTATTATAAGATACTATCTCATAATTATGAGATACTATCTCGATAGTATCTCATAATTATGAGATAGCTAAGTCATAATTATAAGATACAAGTTTTATTTTTATTTTTATCAGGGTGGCGGAACTGGACTTCCATACTTACTAACAAAAAGGTCACATCTGAGTGAAAACTCGGTGCATAGCTGAGCAATTTCTAACATTATGCAAGAATCTTGTCCCCACTATTTTCTTTAAAGAACTACAGCAGTGAAGCACTGAGACTTGTTTTTATATAGTAGCTTTACACTGTAAATGCATGTTTTTTTTTACTACTACTAGCACAGCAAAGAAATCTTTTAACCATACTTTATCTATCAGGTTGTCTTTAGCTGCTGTTCTAACAGAAACATTAATTATTCAGTAAGATACCATTTTTTTCACAGCTTTTATGAAGATGCAGATAATAGAAGGAAGAAAAAAATCTGCGAGAACAAACAAAACCAAAAACTCCTGTAAACCTCATTCCTTTTTGAGGTAAAATGTAGAGATTTGCTATTAGTGAACTCTTTATCACAAAGACACCTGACAACATCAAGGAAATGCAAGGAAAGAACAGGGATTGCACTTTAAAGAGCGCTTTTAGGGCAAAAATGTATGCATTTATTTTAATTGATAATYAAGCACAAGTATTACAAAAGACATACTGTACCTGGCATTTACTCGCTCAGTTATTAGGTCCCATTCAGTAAATATTACGGTTCCATGGTGTAATGGTTAGCACTCTGGACTCTGAATCCAGCGATCCGAGTTCAAATCTCGGTGGAACCTGATATTTTATTTCGTGACTTTATCAAAATTATTCATTATTAATACTTTTTATTTATTTTACAACCACATGTTTTTAAAGACAGTTACTTTACCCTGCTATGGTACTTTTTTCTTCACACGAGCAGTTCATATAATTTGCATGTTAACAGAATTGCCGTATTTCCGGGAAAAGCGTCACAGCTTCCCGACAGACCAAGATGGCAGCAGCGATGGATGTTGACACGCCGAGCGGCAGTAACAGCGGAGCGAGCAAGAAGCGTTTTGAAGTTAAGAAGGTAATATTGTTTAAAGTAACTGTGGTCTGGTTAAAAAAAATCGTCTATCTCGTCAGCAGCGTATTAACGTTTAATCCAGCATTAGCGTAGGGAGGCTAATTGCGTCGTTGTCTCTTATGATGCTAGCTATTGTTAGCCTGCTGGAAACAAGAAATGAATCTGCGATTCTTTTGTAGGGATTAAGGTATCAAAAATACAATTTGTAGTGATGTGAGAGGTATTACCCACCTTCACCAAAACATTGTAAATAAAAATAGACAAGTCATTCTTAAATGTACATCTTTACCATTGTTAGTCGACATGCTAAACAAAATTAGCTTAGTCAGCTGAGCTAACATCTCAAAATTTCGCAAGATAAAAAACGTTTAAATTATGTTCTTGTTCAAATTTATTTCGGCTTCATTGATATGTTGTGTTCATGATGTTTCTCATTTAATTAAGTGAAGCAGATTCTCCTTCAGTTATACACAGCTTATTACATTTTAATAGGCTCAAGCAGGACCTTTTCTGACAAGCTTCCTAAGTAATGAAAATTTCAGTTTCATCTCGAGTAAATATTACAGGGACATGTTTCACAGAGGCAACCGTGGACATTAGGTCTTATATATATATATA